TTTCTCGATTAAATATTATCACCCACAGATATAGGAGTATCTGAGGGTGGATGAATTAATTTATTCTATACCCCATAGAGATTAACACTTTTGTTAGGAACAATATAAATCTTTCTATATCTTTCACAGTGTAATGTAGTCACAGTTCTTGTCTATTTTAAATGCATATAATAAGAATGAATAACCTCATTGCTGAGAGTACTTCTTAAAGCACATTGGATCATCTACTAAATTGTTCATCGTTATATGTTTCTGTCTTCTGACCTTCAAGTGCAGGTATGGACAGTAAATGACCAAGAAATATGGTTAATAAGCATTTGTCCATGTCACCTGCTATTCAGTGAAATAACAGTATTAAGGCTCATTATATCATGTTCAAAATCTAACTAACTAACCTTTATCACATTTATAAGAATGTTAGCTCTAAGGAAAGAACAGTATTGGGGGAAAAGACTAGAATATATATGAACGAAATAGACACTAAAGTAACATCTATTGATTGTTCCTGTGTTTCTTCTAGAGGCTAATTTCCTAAAGAACTATCAAGCACATGTGCAATAGTCCGGTTGAAAAGCAGGGGCTAACGACACAAGAAATCCTGATCCTTACAGAGGGGAAACCATGGCTACCTAAGAGCCATGCTTGTGTGTAACAACAGGAGGTTCCATGGTAGTCTGTCAATAACGCCTGCTCTCCCAGGAGACAGGAAACACAAAACACTCCTGGCTGTCATTGATTGCATAGTCTCACCCATAAATTGCATCCTTCCCTTAAAACTGACTGAGAGAAACAGTCTGCCTACCTTAAATGACTTGCAGTTGCTGTTTCAGAACATTTAGATTATTGCATAAGGAAGACAGAGCTGGGAAAAGCATATAAAGTGAAATGTTTCTTAAAAATTATGATTTTTTTTTTTGCAAATAAGGAAACATTTTTTATTTTGCTACAAAAAAAATTCTTGTTAGTTATTTAGAGTGCATATTATTTAAAAATATTTTAATGAGAGAAAAATCAAACACTCAGACTTTATAAACATCTTTGTGTTGTTAGCATTTGTTAACTGCTTTATAACAGGAGAATCTAGCACATAAACCAAATGTACAAAACATATACCAATTAAAATTCTGAACTGTGAATGAAATAAGACGGTAAAAACTACAGTCTTGGACAGATGGTTAGACAGTGATAAACATATGCAACTATCTCCCAAAGGGCGATAGAGAGTCTGTCCAAACCTGGCATCCAGAAAGAACGGCTTCTCTCTTGTCTGCTTCTCATCAATATCTACTACAGGACATATCTTAGGCTTCACAAATTTCACAAAAAGAAAAACTCTTTAACACCTGTCTATTTTCAGTATATTTCACTTCTTTTTTAGTTTGACACCGTAATTGAACGTTGGTGTCTGTTTTGCTATCAGTTTAGTTATATTTTTTTGTCCAGTTTTAATTACTTAGCATCATAGGCCATTGTCTGCTCTTTAGTCTTAATATTATTAATCATTTATTTGTACAGGTTAGCCCCTCTGCATTCAGTGTCTCATCACAAGACAGACCTGTTAAGACATAAAATTATGAGAAAACAGAGCAATTATTACAGATTTAAAAGTGTCGATTAAAGTGGTCTTGAAAAATTAACAGACACTGACAGCGAAAAATATAAGATTATTTTTAGATTGCGTTAAGCCACTTTGTTGCAGAAAAAACAAAATATTACAACTAAGGATGTGGAAAAAATAAGTTTAATTTTTCAAACAATGGTTTATTATATTAACATCTGTTCCATCTGATTAATTGATAATGGCTGCTTAGAAAGAATTTCTTTCAGTGTTGTAGAGGGCGTTTCTTTTTATTCTCACGCTGAGGCTTATTGGTATTTGCTTGAGCAGAAATATGAATCAATCCAAAGTCTTAGCTGTGATTATTTACATTCTTTGATTGCAAAAAGGATACAGGATTTACTTTTATGCGGTTCTCAGTAAATATAAATACTCAACAGGGTTATAACCTACAAAGCGTCCTTTTAATTGCATGTTTAGATGAACTGCTAGGAGCATAAAGTGTCTCCCAGCAACGTATGTTGAATTTGGCAAAAGACAGGAATCTACACAATTACCCTCCACTTCATTCAAACAAAGTGGTGTGACAGAGTTACATAACCTTTCTCTTAATGATACTCTATTATCTCTGTACATTGGTTGTCATGAATATTTCACATATTTTGTTTTTCCTTGTTATTAAGTAATCTAGGTTCCTGTTTTGTTATATTTTCTAAACGTGTAGTTAGGGTTAGGGTTAGCCAAGGAAGGAACACTTAATTTTATAAGTTTTTTATCAAGCTTGCTTAATATTGTGCACAGCATACAACCTCAAAACATTGTTTTTATTGTTTATTGTATTTATTTATTGTATTTTATTTATTAATGAAAATATTTTTGTTGAATTTTGGAGTCTTTGTTTTTATCCTTGTGGTATCGAAAATGGTATCGAGTATCGAATATTTTCCTTAGTATCGGTATCGAGTTGAAAAGTTTAGTATCGTGACAACCCTACGCCCTTCATCGTTTTATTACAAGACAAAAATGAGTTTTTAAAAATAAATAAAAAGAGGATCGAGAAACTTTAGATGAAATTATTAAATGAAACCTTCCATCCCTATTTAGAGCTTTATCCTAAAATAATCAGACAAACGTGATAGGTGATTGTCCATTTAGAGAATCAGTCACCTTTACATGGTCAGGCTATCAACAACACTCTTTGGTGTGAATGGTCTTACTGAAGAACAAATTTACCTATTTTCAGTCAAAATTAAGCCCTTAAAGAGGAGGACAGTCAGAAAAAGGAAATAGGTAAATGAAGCTATCTAGAGGGGAACACGTCTTAGAACATGTTGAGAATTCAGGCTGAAAGAGGGTTATAAACACCATGATTTTCAGAAGATAACACAAAGGCTTAAAAAAATAACAGCTTAGTTTATGAGAATATTTTTTGTTTATCTTTCAACCTTTATCAGGGAACATTCTAGATCTGATCACACTGAGAGATTGACATTTCCTCAGACATACAAATAGGGGTTTTAGTAATGCTAGCCATCCTAGTGCTCACTAATGTAAATGGTAGCTTAAAATATCAACTTCATATGCATTTTGTATTCATTAACCGAGCAGCACCCTGTTAAACAAGATAGGATTTTCACACTTGTAAGACAGTTTTGCTTCCTGCATAAATGAGAATAGTTTGAGAGCTGTTGTCATATATAGAAATATACTATTTTAAACTGAAACAGCTATTATTGCGGTCAGCAGATTAAAGCTGTTTATTAAACTTAGCATTAAGTTTTAGTAAGATTAAACGAGTGAAATATTATCAAACTGCTGTCTTCACAGAATGTATTTCTTACTTCTGTGTCATAGTTCTACTTTCAGAAATTAAGAGTAATCTTTTAATTTGATCCACGTGTCTTGCGCTGGGGATCAATGTTAATGTTCTGTGGATGCACAGAAAGGGGTGATACCGACAGAAGAAAAGGCCAGTAGCGGCATATAAAAAGTCTTGGCATAATACAGAAGTATAAAAATGACCATGCATTGTTTGTAAAAAAAAAAAAAAAGAAATACTTCTTGAACATATCTTTGTGGAATAGCTGTATCATCTTCAAGAATAAACAAACCTTTTAGTTGAATAGAAAACACTTATATCTAAGGTCTGTCTTCAGGTATGAATAATATATAGCATAAGGGTATTTTTTCTATTTTTATTACATGCTCTGTCTCAGCTGTGGCTCTCCCATTGTTGCCAAACAAAAATAATCACCATCATGTGCAAAGAAGAAGCAGGACAGCACACAGAGACGCAGACAGGCAGTGACAGAGAGGGTGTGCATGCCTTCTCTCCTCTCATGAGCTCAGATGCTAAATTCAGCAAAGCAACCTCGACAAGCCCATGGGATCCTGGATCTCCAGTTACACCGAAGGGAATGTGTCAGACTACACGGGGTCTGACTTCTGCTGTAACTCTGCTGCAAAGTGTCGCCGATTCCACTACAGTGACTATGCTGAAATGATGCGAACAAGTTCATTACAACATGCAACTAAAGGCAATTATGAACAATTAAAACATGAGACAACTCGGCAGAAGGCGTATTCTACGCATTAATATGGTATATCTGAGATAAAACAATCTATTTCTTCAGGACTTTGAGTAGATACTCTAAATCAAGCTGTGATAAACACGTCAAATGTCTCAGTTTTCCTCATCTTGTTTGTCTGTGCTAAAGGCGCTCATTGAGACTCCGCTCTAAAGTACGGGTGAGGCATGTAGCATCACTTTGCGACTTCGCATCTTCGACTCAAGAAAGATGACACAACGGCTCAATCCGAAATACACGCGCCGGATTAAAATAACTTTCACAAACTACTGCAAAAGAGAGGCGATGAGCTCCGAGCAGAACCGCTAAACAAAGAGGCATCATTTCAAGCAATAAAATTTGACTAAAAAGAGAGAGAGAAGAGGAAAAGAACACCTAGCAGGATGTATTTAATTAAGGCACTGGGTGCTTAATGTGAAGCAGCTGGTGAATAAATTAAGCAGCCCTAAATGCAGGTGTGTGAGCGCGGATTTCCACTCAGAAGTGTCTTAGCTTAGCCGCAACACTAGCTTAGCAGCCTGGCTCCTGTTTGCCCGACAAGCTTTCAGCACCGGGGCTCAGTGGATAGCAGCGCTCTGGAGTGGGGGAGCACCGCTCACATTTCCAGCAACCCACTTAAAAAAAAGACTGAACCACCCGGTTATTGAAATGTCAAATATGCAGAGTTTCTGTTGAGCTGTGTCTTTAGTAGTAAGCGGCGGTACAATGCTGAATGAATCCGTCGGACCTCGCCTAGGCTAATGTTAGCTGCACTGCTCCCGGTCGTCAGTCGGTGCAGCGAGTGTAAAGCTACAGGCTGCTAGCAAAATAAATCTTTCATCTCACAAGCCTTCCCACCCAGCTTGAATACCCACCTCAGCCGTTCAAGTCCTCTCGCAGGTGTAGAAACTGCAGCAGCAGAAGCAAATGGTTTCACTCAGTGCACTCCAAAAGAAAAAGCAGCGTCCTCCTGTTCCGTTAACCTCCCCGGAGAGTAACAATCGGCTCAGTCCCGGACGCTCTCCTTAATCTTGTGGTGCTGAATCCGAGGCTACGCGCTTCTGTCGGTGTGTCGGAAATGCCTCTCCTCCTCCCACGGTCGCTGCGAAATAATGACCCTGCTTCTGCGCTCCTTCAGAAACAACGAAGCAGGCAGGTGCGGACGGTGATGCGCTAGTGGCTGGGAGCTCTGCTAAATAGTGGCCCGTATGGTCGATTCCAGCGCTAGCAAATCAGGAGCGGTTCTCTGTGTCGTTGACGCATGCGTGATTATGTGGGTGAGCAGGGAAACAGGATTTGAGCTTTGCCACATTCTATGTGTGGATGGATTAAAAACTATCACAAAAACACTGAAACCCATTTTTATTTCAGGGGCATATCGTTAAAATATAATTTTAAAAACTTAGTTATTCCATTAATTCAGTTTAAAATGTAGTATGTATTCTTGATACAGTTTACCAAAGTTTATTCCTGTTTTTTGATCATTACATATACTAGCTAAAAAATAATTATTGAATACAGCATCAGACCAATGTTTAAATATGTAGTGTAATCTTGTTTGTCTGTTTATCTCTCTCTTGTTACAAGTGAGACTGAAGACTTGACAACACAGCCACAAAAATAAGTTGCAAAGTTAATATATGAGTTATATTTTGTAATTAAATAACATACCTTTATTTTTTTTTTACTTGAATTAACCGTAGCTAGATGAGACTCCACGGTGAGCATAATAAACAATGATTAAGGTTCCTGTTGTAATATTATGCTGTTAATGTATATTTATATATGTATGTGTTAATGTTTATATATATATATATATATATATATATATATATATATATATATATATATATATATATATATATATATATATATATATATATATATATATATATATATATATATATAAACTGTATATTCATATAGATATTACTGTGTATATCTACAAAAATTGTTACCACTACATTATACTTTTTCAAAAACACTTGTTAAGAAAGCACAGAGAGCTATTTCTCAAGAGCTCTTTTGCAAATGACAAGTGTTGGGAAGTAAAACTATAAACTGTATAAACCAAACTGCTTTGTTATTTAACATTAAGTCAAATTCTGTGTTTTTGCTGGTAAGACCATATTAGCCACTTACAGCCAAACATTGGCATACTAAATTGTGTATTAGTTTATGAAGGACAGAAAGAAACTTCATGATTTTCAAGGGCTCACTTTCCAAACTAAAAAGATCTAATCTGACTTCACTATATAGATTCTACAGGATTAAACAAACAACTGTAAGGTGGTAGAATAATGTTGTATAATATTGTTGTTATCAGGGGGTTATGATTTTTTTTTTTTTTTTCAAACAAAATATTGAATTGCTTCCTTCGTAAGGACTCTTTGTTTTTTTTACCTGCAAAGTGACTAGCATAAAAATGCACACAATGGCCAAAGAGCTGGGTCATAAATTAAATATGGACATCTTAAGAAACAACATTATTCTCTGTGTTTAAAATAATTATTAGTTTTCAGGGATATCCATGATACTCTGCATTACATTATTTGCAGACAATAGTCCTTTATCTAGCTGTCTGGATGCTATATTTAATCATTTGTGTTGTAAGAATAACACAAAACTATTTCAGGATTTTGAAAGCCAACATTTTAGATTTGTTCATGACAAAAAAAACAAAAAAAACATAATCATCCAGTTACTGTAAGTGCCTAATTATGAATTCAGACATGCAATTACTGCATTCAATGATTGCCTACAGATCATGGATTACTTATCCTATAGGCTAATCATGTTTGTTAACCTGACTGGACTAAATTTTAATACCTTTTAGGTTAAATCTTGCCACAGTAGATCATAGTTGCATCCAATTAAGTCTAAATAATAATGCAAGATAGATAAGAAAATCACATCAGTGGTCTATTTTATATCTTGTGAACCCCTGTTTTAGTCATTTTTTGTCAAACTATATTGATTTTCCTTTTGGTTTGTGTACTGTCCCTGCTTGTTTTCCAGTGCATGGAAGTTCCAAAGCTTATTAGCTAACTGCTTTCTTTAGAATTCTCCTCAGATGCGTTCAAGCTGAGCCTCTAAGCTGATACAGCTTGTAAAGAACAAAACTACACAGGGAATAAACTTATCTTTGAGTTTGACAAGTTGTCAGCTTACTCTGTTGTGTATAGCTCTATCTAGAAACAGTGGGAAGTTAAAGATAATAAATATATTTTTGTTTGTAGAGCCATGCACTGAGATTTCCAATGAGAATTGAGTTGAGAAGTGATGTTCATCCATTGTGTTTTCACTTTGTTTCATATCCACAAACCCCACACTCACCATAGTGCATTTTCCTGTCTTAAATATAGCCTATACTCCAGGGACTGTCATTACCAGATGTCCCTGCACTGGCTTTTACTGGTCCTACACAAAGAGGTCATCAGTGGATCAATCCGCTGTACTTAAAAGCTCTACAAAAAAAGTTTTGAAATCTCCAAGCCCTCAAAATCCCATCCTTTATCCTCAAAGAGAGAGAATTAAGGGCAGGAAAATGATTGAGCTAACAGTTTAAAAAAAGGGAAAAAATGACAAGGTAGTTTAACATGACATGAGCAGACTGATGTTTTGTTAGCTCATTGTTGCGTTTTTTCATTGTGGAAACATTGTTCATTGTCAGAATCAAGAATGGACACTTCAGATAGTCTTGCAATCAAAAGCACACTTACTTCAGGTGAGAGATTGTTTTAGGTAAAAGCTCTTCATCCAGCAATTCTGGTAAAAGCAAACCTAAGGTAATTTTGGGTTTTTCAAGGAAGATTGAGGATACTACATTATTGACTTTGAGAAAGATGATGCATAATAAATCAGTGTAGCTTCTATGAAAAGCAAAAATTGTTGTCAAGGTTATTCCAATGTGTGGAAGTGGCAGCATGTCGAACAGTATGCCAACATTTTTGGTGAACAAATGGAGGCAGAATTCACTTAAACTTGGATACAGGTTAATCTTAGTTGACTTATTTTCAGAGCATTAAATATCCATCCATCCATTTTCTGACACGCTTAATCCCCATTCGGGTCATGAGGGGTGCTGGTGCCTATCTTCAGCTGTCTACGTGCGAGAGGCGGGGTACACCCTGGACAGGACGCAAGTCCATCTCAGAACATTAAATATGTGACACAATATTATGTATGATTCTGGAACCTGTGATGTATTACACACTGTGACCATCAGACTACAAACAATGCATCCCTAGGTCCCATGCTGACCTGGGTATTAATCCTGTGCACAACACTGCGCCCCCAGGATTTTAATCTGGTCTTTCTGTCCCACTCTCTACCTTCTCTAACTCTATTGCCTGCTGCATAAAACACTGGATTTAATGTGTACAGTACGGACATCAGGAATACATTTTTCATCTACTCCCTGTGTTTAAACCCTTTAGGCATAGAAAACCAGCTGTGACACACAGTAAATAACACAACCGAGGACACCAAATGAACACTGATAGATGGTTTTTGCTCAAGTCTGTGGGAAACATTTGCTCCTCATGAAGCTGACAGTGCATCACAGGTTGCATCAGGGAATACTTAAACTTCTTTGTGCATAACATTGTACCCTCAACGGGGATACAGTATTTCTCTAACACGAAGGCTGGTATCAAATCCTGACGTATAGGTTCTCCTAATGGGGAAAATAGAGCATTCTTCCTAAGAAATAAGGAGGAGTTGCAAAAATAAACAGAAAAAATTGAAATAGGAGGAAGATGGTGAACCAAATGCAGCAGAACATTAGTGGGATCTGGAAAAGCCTGACAACAACTTAGGGTCATGAATAGGGTTGGGAATTGAAAAGATTTTCACGATTCCGATTCCCTTTTCGATTCTATGAAATGATTCGATTCTTTATCGATTCTTTTTTCGATTCCAATTTGGGGGAAAAAGGAGAACAAACAGTTTGATTATCAGCATCAACTTTGTTTACTTAACTATTGCACAATCTTACAAACTCAACAAGATCAAGATGTCCACAGGAAATGTGAAACTGGAGTAACATCTGTGTTTAAATGAAAAATAAATATACAAGAACAAACTTAATAACCAACAATGTCTAATAACAAATGATGGGATAATAACCTATTTTAAATAACAAAAAATACTAATTATAAAAGAGTAGTAGGGAAAATTAACAGTTATTTTGCAGAAAGATGAGCATATCTGCTTTTTCTGGAAGGATACAGGATCTTTCAGGGCTTATGGTGTCTCCAGCCGTGGAGAACACCCTCTCAGATGGGGTGGAGGAAGCCTGCACACAGAGGTAGTTTTCAGCCAGTCAGATAGCAAGGGCAGCGTATCTTGCTTGTTCCACCACCACAGTGTGGCGCTATCCCTGCAGGGGATGGAGGGCAAGCTTTTATAGAGCTGGATTTCCTGATCTACCCTCTGGGCTAAGGAAAGACGGGGCTTTGATTCACAAAGTGACCGCAGCTCGTTGTCTTCCTCCTCGAATAGTTCTTCCAACTTACGTAACTTACGTAAAAAACGTGACGTAAGTCGTGCTCCCCAGAGCCGGCGCTCTAGGCTCTGGTGCTGCGGGAATCGAAAAAAGAATCGTTCAGTGAGCTGCCAAACGATGCCATGGAATCGGAAAATACGGAACCGGTTCTTAACAGGAACCGGTTTTCGATTCCCATCTCTAGTCATGAACTAAACTATCAAGCTTTAGAAGTGTTAGGGTTGGTGAAGGATATGAAGAGGTTCTTCAAGCTGGTTTGTCCAGACGTTTACTCCTCCCACAGCTCAGTCACCCCCTGTTGCAACCACCTTATCTTTGTTGAATACATGCTTTTCTTCCATGAATAATTTCATAGGACTCTATTGGCCATCTTTGTCTGCCTGTCATCTTTAGCACTGTAAATGTAGAACAAGCTTTAGTGTTACTATGCTTCTGCTGAATCTATTCTAAAGCAGTTACTGCAGCCTTTTGCTGGAACTGCTATCAACTGCTAATCAGGCTGGATACTCTGGATCACTAGATACATGTTCAAATTTAACCTAAACGTAGGGTTTCACACTAGTGGTGAAAAACTGTTGTGTTTTCAGTCCTTCATTGTTATGCGATAGTAGTGCGGGATGCAGTAGTTTGTCCTGCAACAGGAGGGTTGTTTCTTCAAGTTTCTGCTTTCAATGTTTTTTCCTGTTAAAAGGGAATTTTTCCTCTCTACTGTC